CACACACACAGAACAGTAGCTTTACACACTCATCTCTCTGCAGGATCTTGCGGGGAACTGCCAGAAAATATGAGAGAGGAGAGCCTTTTAGACTCTGCACAGCGAGGGGCGAATGGCAGTGATCCACCAACTTCAAACATGAGCAGAACTCGAGCCCAGAATCCGATCGGCTCTGGCAGCGACACGTGCATTAGGAAAGGTTTCAGATGTGAGCTACGTACGCTACAGTCACGATTCAAAACCCTCTTATGTAATCGACCCGTCTTCCTCATCACTGAATCTGCTGCGTATGACGCCTATAGTACATTTGGTATGTCTGTTTAAACTTCCGGGGATGAGTGGATATTATATAAAAGAGCTCTGGAAGCACTCACTTTCATTTATTATAGAAATCAGACATGTTTCATTTTTTTGCACCAATCCTCTTGTGACGCATTAGGCGCCTAATGAGCCAAAAAAACCTTCAAGGTCAGAGTGTTACCTCGTATATGAAGCTACTGAGGGTGAATTAATGACGCAATCTTTGCACACAAAACAGCTGACATCATCAGAGGAGGGAAGTACAAATACTTTGTTACTGTGCCTTTAAGTACAGCTTCAAGTATTTATTTAAGGGAACTTTTTTTTTGCTTTTACCTCCTTCATATTAGGCATAAGGCAGGGTTGGTAATTTCCTCCAGATCCACTTTTTAAAGATTCTGGTGTAAATTGTCTTTAGGTCCTGACAGAAATTATTAACTCATGTTCTCTGAAAAAGGAACAAAGAAAATCCATCATCTGTATCAGTTTGTAAGTCTGTAAAAACTTCAACCAATGTCTGCCACGAGGTACCAATCTGATGAACCAATCAGACGCCTCCCTGTCTCCCTGCTCGCTCTCTTGCGTGCTCTAGCTCACACTCAAAGCGATGAGCTGAAGTCCGGTTTTGGAGCAACCACGCTCGTGCATGTAAGTGAGAGGGCGTGGCTTTAGAGGGAGCACAGAGGGGAGGGGATGGGTGCAGACAGAGCACTGAGGGAATGCTACTTTCAAAATCATGCAAGTTTTCAAAAATGACCAACCCTGCCTTTAACAAAGCGGCAACCTGCAGTGCTGAAAAAATAAAGCCAAAGCAGAAGTGTAACGTCCTTCAGTCCGTCCGCTTGAAGCTGGCTGCAAAAGTGCCGGAAGCCACACACATGGGCATTGATGGGCTTCATATCATGACCTAGTGGATGACCTCACTGAGACCACGTCCATGTTTCATACAGTCTCGGGTTTTGACTATAGTGCAAGATTTTCCTATTTAATCTAAACTAGATTCAATATTTTACCTACATAATATTTACTTTCCTCTTTCAATAATATATGAACATAGTGTGTTGGGGCGGACCTCTAAGGGCACGATCACACTGGCCATGTGTACCATGCTGTACTCAAGCATGATTAGCCCCCCCGCTGTGTCACTCCCACGCTGGCCGGCACGGCCCGCGGTCACACTGGCCAGGACTAACCGTGCTTGAGCACGATTACCTCTTGTACATAACGTCGTAATACAACACATGCACGATTTATGTTATTATGAAGCGTGCTCAGTTTACAAACAGGCAGATGAAAGAGAGAGAGAGAGAGAGAGAGAGAGAGACAGAGACAGAGACAGAGAGAGAGAGAGAGAGAGAGAGAGAGAGAGACAGAGAGAGAGAGAGAGAGAGACAGAGAGAGAGAGAGAGAGAGAGAGAGAGAGAGACAGCGAGAGAGAGAGAGAGACAGAGAGAGAGAGAGAGAGAGAGAGAGAGAGAGAGACAGAGAGAGAGAGAGACAGAGAGAGAGAGAGGGAGAGAGAGAGACAGAGAGAGAGAGACGTACAGTCGAGTCCGCGTCTGCACATCAGAGAACAAACAGAGAACATGACAGATACTTTGTGTCTTATATTGAGTCATGTTATTCAGATACAGACATGAAACTCTGGATTTCTCCTGAATGTTTGTGCTCGTGCATGAAGTGTATCGTGCTGAAGCACGATACGAAGCGGTCACACTGGCCAATCGTACTGGACTTTGAAGCGTGCTTGGGCACGGTACGGATGGCCAGTGTAACCGCGCCCTAAGGACTGTTGACGGTATACTTGAAAATTCACAAAACATTCATACTCTTCTGTCTTCGTCTTCTCTAATCAGGTAAAGTAAAAAAATGACACTTTGACGTTAGTGTATTGCATTTTCTTTAGTACTTTACATATAACAGGAAAATACAAGGGTTTGTTTCCGAGAGAATACAGGAAATTTAACAGTGCTCTGTACAATAACATATTATTGTGAGGGTGGCGTTTGCTTGGCACAGCTGACAGAGACGTGCACAGTTTCCCATCGGGTGCAGGGAGGGGGGGGCATAAAGATACAATTCAAGATGTTCAATAACACGTTGTAAGAAGTTTCTATTAGCAGCTTGAAGAAATACAAAATGAGCAACATGTGCACCTTCACCAAAGAAGCACTACAAAAAAATAAAATGACAAAATGTTAAAATGTAAAAATGATGAAATGGGCGACCTATTTACATACAGTGTGATTTAAATCAAGAGATCAAACGTAGAAAAAAGAAACACATGAATCAGTGTGTGAAGCTGCTATTAGATACTTGATCTTTTATAGATTCATATTGGGCAGACTGACATTAACACCAAACAGCCAGGTTCAGTAAAGACTTCCTACATTCATCCTGAGAAACGTTTCAACTGAAGCACTTTCCAGCTCGCTGACGTTTCTCTAAATATCATGGGGGAGAAAAATCATGTTGGATGCCGTGGCTTAAGGACGGGGGGCTTGGTGTGTGTCAGGAAAAAAGAACGTCTCGTCTTCTCTTTGGATGTTAACACAGATTGAAACTCCATGAAATACCAAGAATCAGGTGGTTGTTCATTTCGACCACATGGAACAAAGAGAGGGCATGCAGTAAATCAGATCCTTAAAGATCCCAATCCAGGATTAACGGACAGCTCAAATGTAGATATTTACATGTCAGACTTTTAGAAAGTATGGTTCACTGATGGAAAAACATGTCAACAGATGTCTGTTTCTGCTCCCGTATTTACAATGTCACTGTTCTTGAATCGTTTCCTTGGTCAGATCTGATTGGATTAGCTTTGTGTTAATGAATAAGTTTTCAAAGTAAATATAGAATATGCCTTTGAGTTCTGCACTTTGTACAAACAATGCTGGATTGGGTCTTTAATGGAGCTGTACAGGAGTACATTTTCAGTGACAAATAGAGCATATATATACACTCATTATCACAACATAGGAACAAAAGCAACATTAGATTTCTAAGATTAAAAACATCAGTTAACATAAAAGAAGATCCAAGCCCTTAAGATTCGGTTTCGGTTTCAGAATTAAAGGAATGTGACACGGGAAAACTCATTTTTTGATCTTGTGGTTGCTTCATTAGTCCAGAAAAGATCTTGTTTAACACGAGACATCAGACGCCAGAATAACAACCTTCAAAGAAGTCACCACCTCCACACGCTGCACTTAACGGGGCGACTGTGATTAAAAAACACACTACTAGCTTTGCTGTCATCATGCTCTCCTTTACTACCATATGTCTGGCTGCCTCGCAACTTTGGATGAAATCTCAGTTGCGATGTCTTAAGATCTTTCAAAAACCTGCATGATATTTCATTTTCCTGCTTTAGGGAAATTCCCAACTCAAGTCAAACCTCCGAACCTTCAAATAACATCCAATGGCGGTGCTCATTTTACCCTATTGGTCCAAATAGAAGACTTTTTTCCCCCTTTGAAATTCACCAGAAAAAAAGTTGGATTGTCTTATATTCAGGGTCTAGACTTTTAAAATGCCAATATGAGTTTAACAATAATGGATATCTTTACAGCGAGTGTGCTCATGACTGAGACGAGCCGTCACAGCTGCAGTACCAGGGGGAGACACCAGGGGGACACGGTGACTCAAAAGTTGTTCAGGTTAACCAACAACTGAGGCAAAGGTATGATGTCAATTTTGGTTATCAATGCAACATTTTATCAGTGTAAAACCGCCGTCTAAGATCGATTAATCTAGAGCAGTGGTTCCCAACTGGTGGGTCGGGACCCATCAGTGGGTCGCGGAGCTGTTTTCAGTGGGTCTTGAAAGGTGTGGCAGGAAGAAAAATGGGGGCAAAAAGTCTATGAAGAGGTTTTCTTTTCACACTTTTTTACCTTAGTTTTTCATAAAAAAAATATGATTGTTTAAAAAATAACAGAAATTTGGGTCTCAGTTTTTCATGAAGGAGTTGGCGGTGGGTGCTGAGGCTTGACCAGTTGAGAACCACTGAACTAAAGGACATTCTGGGCCCGCTTCCCACCATGCGGACTCCCCCTCTGCAAGTGAAGGTATCAGAGGGAAAGATGGCCGCTGTCAGGTCTCTCCTGCAACTGAATTGTGAGTGAAATTTTTCAAAATGGGTGTTGTGTTTTTTGGGCACCTTTATGAAAACACACTGCTGATAAACATTGTCTGGCAGGGGGCGCTGGTGGCCTAGAGGTTAGTTTCTGCGCCCCATGCACAGAGGCTGTAGTCTTTGAGTAAATGCAGGGTGGGGCACGTTGCTGAAATTAGTCTTGTAAAGGATTGGGGGAGAGGGGGTCGTCTTACAATCAGGGTCATCTTATACTCGGACCAATATGGTAGTCACTTTGATTTGTTGGTAAAGCCATTCAGCGTCCTGAGATACACACTCAATGCATCCACATCCACAGCCCATCTGCCAATAGAAACACTGATCTTCTTCACCAATAAGCTTCTGTCGTCGTCATGTTCAGTACATTGTTGACTTCCAGGTGTGAGTTCACTGGAGTAGATTAAACAAAAAAGAAAAAGGACGCACACAGGTAGAAGGGGGAAAAAATGAGGGGGGAAAGGGCGTACATTGGAGAGTGTGTCTTTCAACATGGGATGGCCATGATTTAAAAATGATGGAGCAAAACCAATCAATTATTTATCAATCCTGTTTCCTGGAGGGGGGGGGGGGGGGGGGTTGGCATTTCCTGCAGAGTTTAGATGAGTTCCTGTGTTCAGTGAGAATGTTTCCAACTAGTACCTCATAAGTTCATTTTTTCCCCCAGAGGCTGGTGGGGACAGCTTAACTTCAGGATGGTAAATAAATCACCCAAAAGATCAGATCTCTTACAATTCTGATGCATAGCAAACCACCCAAATGTTTAACAGCCAGATGTGAGACCCATTTGTTTTTAAAAAGCTACAGTTCTGCTCGACATTACCAAAAGGGGGAACCCTTCTACTCAGCACAAGACTAAAAAAAAGAAAATGTCAAGACTCCATCCCGGGCTGCCCACTCTTTTTTCGAGCTCGGAGCCAGGGAGTCGTCGAGCGTTGGTGCGGGGACGCGAGTCCTGTCTCGATATTCAGTATTTACAGATACTAGAGGAAGAATGTCTGCGTGTCAGTATGCCTGGCATGACATGCGTGTAATGCATGATAACCTATTTTACTTTTACTATGTGTATGAATGGTTATATAATTACAATACAAACATCTACAAATTTGGGGAAAAAAAAAAAAAAAAAGGTTGCTGATTGTGCCTCGAGATCCGCGTCCATGCAAAGATATTCGAGATCCTCCAAACACACATGTATACCTCATGCTCGAGTTCAGTGTTTTTACGTCTTACTTACACCGTCTCTAGCCGTGGTGAGAAAAAACAGGGTGTCTGCGCTGATATAAGAAGTGTTTTATAAGGCATTCGATTTTTATCCAGGACCAGGAAGGACTAGTTGTAGGGCACTGCTTTTTGCCTCGCTATGAAATGTAGAAAAATGCATGGAATGAACATGAGTACAAATCATGAGTGTGCTGCACCGAGAACAACAATGAAGAAAGTTTTTCGCCATTAAAAGAACACTTTTTTCTACTTTGGCAAAACAAAATGATTTTTTTTTTTTTTTTTTTTTAAACATAGCTTCCATGAGAGTCTTTGACAGTTTTTTTTTTTTTTTGTTCATCAAAGGCCTCTTTGTTTGAAGTAGGTACAGTACAGCAGAGTCCAACTGAGCCAGCAAAGAACACAGCCAACACCAAAAACCTCTACATTCCTGTCCCTATCAGGCTTTTCTCTCAAAAAGCAGATCCTAAAAAATAAGCCGGAGCAGCTCTCACTTTTTTGGCCATGACTCACTCAACTTTTGCGGTGAAACATGTTTCATATAGCCAAGATTTTACAGATTCCTCCAGTGATATTGAGATCCTCTGGTCAAGTCTTTGGCTTGCTTCCCTTTGCATTCTCTCCTGTGTGAGCGTGTATGAGATTACAGCACTGTGCAAACTAAATGGAACACACTCTAACCGAAACAACAGTTGGCCTTTTAGTCTGTGAAAAAGTTATCTTTCACTTAGGTGAAAAAGAGAAAAATAGAAAGGAACATTTCTTTAGAAAGCTGAGAGCGTCGGTCCACGCTGCCCCCCCCTCTTATCTCAGGCTATCTCTTTTATTCTGCGCATGTAATCGTGCAGTTCCTCTGGGTCTTGAAAGCCCATATCCTGGCAAACCCACTGAATGTCCTCTTCGTCCGCTATGGGGATGGAGTTATAGGGCAGCTCCTCCGTGGGGAGGGTGGTGAAGGTGGTGAACTTGACTCGTTTGCGCTTGGAAGTCGGGGAGCTGGCCTCCTCGCCGTTCTCCTTCGTCGAGCCCCCGGAGCTGCCGTCGCCCCGCCCGTGCACCTGGCTCTGAACGCTGGTCTGGGAGCTGCCGCTGCTGTGGTGGTCCCCGTGGCAACAAGTCTGCACGCCTTCCAAGGGGTTGCTGGGACTCTCCACCTGCTGCGGTGACAGCTCACACTGGGCCCTCAGTGGCTGGCCGTTTCCCAAGAACACCCAGTGGTGGGAGTGGTCCATGTTGGCCTGACCCTCGGGGGGGATTCTCTTGTGGCGGTATTTCAGCACAAACACGATGCAGTTGATGAGAAAAACTAAAATGGCCAAACAGAAAACTCCCAGGAGGGCGTACATGCCGATCTCGAGGTCGGTCATGTTCCGAGGCGAGTGCACAAAGTCGTCCTCCTCTTCCTCGTCGCTCTCGGTCGGCCTCTCTTGGTTGCTAATGGTGGGGAAATTGGTGTAATCAATGGGAACGCTGGCGGGTTGCTCGTTGGACGTCTCGTAAATTCTTCCGCTGACGTTCGGATCAATGATCGGACGCCTGGTGAAAGGAGTCAGCTCGATCTCGCCCTCCGTGGTCGCCTCTTCTTCCGAGTCCTCCTCGGGGCCGAAGCGGACCTTGACGTGAACCGCGGCAGACGCGATGACGCTTTTCCGTTTGGTCTTCTGGCAGGCCTCGCAGATGGTCATCTCCAAACGCACCATCTCACCGAATCCCTCGCCTTCTGCCACCACCACGGGCCACCGTTGCTGAGGCTCCTGGGATATCGACACCACTTTGTCATCCAGTGTGGAGGCGTTGAGGTTGTAGTCTTTGGGATCAAAGTAAGACAGAGTGGCGGCTGTGTTGTCACTGAAGAGCATCCAGATGGACAAACTGGCCTCCTGTTAAGAGAGAGAAACAGAATCAGATTGGTTATTCTATTCACACTGCAAAGGAACTTCAGTCAAATTTGCAACTCTCAGTAACCAAGGTCCACACTTGATTGTCCTTGGATAGTTAGTAAAATAATATCTGAAGGGTGACAGCATTTCTTTGATGAACTAAAAGATTAAATACTGTAGACTCTGCTGACACTTTAAAACATGAAAAATAAGCTCCTCTTAGAGAATTCTCCTGCCAACCACTGGATCATAAAAAGAAAGATTTGAAGTGATTAACAAAAATGTCCAAAATTCTTTGCCAAAACCTTCCAGCAGAAAAGAAAACAGAATCACTGCAACAGTTTGTGTATGGGTTCAAACTTCACAAGGACTTTGTGCACAATTGAAAAGAGGAGTTAAAGTCTGTGATAGATAGGTAGGTAGGTAGGTAGGTAGGGAGGTAGGTAGGTAGAGAGGTAGGTAGGTAGGGAGGTAGGTTGGTAGGTAGGTAGGTAGGTAGGTAGGTAGGTAGGTAGAGAGGTAGGTAGGTAGGTTGGGAGGTAGGTAGAGAGGTAGGTAGGTAAGTAGGTAGGTAGGTAGGTAGGGAGGTGGGGAGGTAGGTAGGGAGGGAGGTAGGTAGATAGATAGATACTTTATTGATCGGGGAGATTTCATCGAACTAATGATGCTGGTCGATGTTGGTGAGTTAGTCAAAACAGGTAAGGACCATATGTGCTTCTAAATAAATGAAAAGTCCAAACAATGTTGTTCCCCTGAATTGAGTAATGGAATGACTCTTGTCCAATCAGATGGCTTGGTTGCAACAGTTCCTTAGATTGCAGTTTGGCCAATACATCTTTATGTAGAGATATACATGTAAAGAGGAGGCCGAATAAAGAAGGAAGTGCCTCCTGCAGATATCTTTTTATGGAGATCCACGATGCACAGTTTCCCTTTAGACTTCAAGAGCGTATGACGGTGTCTACTTCACTCCATCACCAAGCTACAGTTAGTAAGTTTGATCATTTCTCCAAGGAAACAACATGCCTCGTGAATATCAAAGCGCTGCGCGACTCGGCCTTGTTTGTGTCTTTCAAAAGAATATCTCAACGGGTCAGATCCCCATTCTTTCATGGCACTGACCGTCATTTGAAAGTCTATTCCCAACTGAGCCTTTGTGAAGTTCTGGACTTTTCTCCAAACCCCCCCAAATCTCCAGAGCTTTTTGTGTGAACATGTGCAGTACCCAGTGCCTCTGATGTGCACACCATCTGACCACTTTCAAGCACGGTGAAGGAGGACGGGGTGGCGGGAGTGACTGCGTTGTCCTGAAGGCTACAACACAGCTCAGACGGATAAGGTGCATACAGCAGCTGCTTGTGCTTTCAATGACGAGCTCCAGTCTCTGTGATTGTTTGTGTGTGATTTTCACATTTTGTATGTTTTATCACTCTCTGTGCTTCCTGATGGAGGAAAAAGCCGACATGCTGGTTTACCTGTCGACGTTCATCTGCTGGAGAATAAACTGCAACACTGGTGTCCATGTAATCAAGGCCGTTTGCCACAGTCCCCTTTGTTAACTGCATGCTTTAACATCAGCAACCAACCATGCAAAAGCTGACGGGGAAGGAAAATATTTTCTCCAACACAAGAGTCCAACAGTTTTAGGCTTCTTCTTCTTTTCTTTTTTTATTCTTGCAAAGGGCAAAATGCACAGCGAGCCTTTTCAGGACATAAAATCCCTTCAGTGCATTTCGTGGGGAAAGAGTGCTATGTTGTGATGATATTCCCTCCATGAGCCAAACTTCTATCATCGCAGCATGACAGAGAGAAGACAGCCTTTGATATGGATGATTTAAATAATACATCGACTACGGCATTTCTGTTTTTCATGAGCTGACGCTGGGAAAAAGGGAAAAAAAAGACTGATATAAGGGGAAAACAGGAAATTAGTGGGGTGTTTTTAACATCTGGCACATGCCTGTCTGTGCCAATCAAAGACTTGAAAGTTATGCATGTAGAGGGGGTTTTGATAAGTCTGGTTATAAATTGGGTTTTTTTGATTGATGGAACTCAGAGGGAATTATGCACTCTGTTGATATTTTTCCATACATCGAACTAACCCCACAATCAGCACTCAATTTGGATTATTAATGTAATCTCTGCACTTTATTAGGATTATGTTTTTCATCTCTGATACACCCACATTCTCTGATTTGTGCAACATGGCATCAGGGAGTATATGTGGATGTGAATTGAATGTAGAGCTAGAATGATCAAATATACAAATAAGGGCAGTCATGTGATTAAACCAGAGACCCTAAAGGCCCTGACTCACCAAGCAGACGGCAAAGAACTAGTGGAGACGAAGGCCGACTGTGGCGTCGCCTAACATCTTGGCCAAAAAGTTGCACTTGAACACACCGCGAAGACTACAGCCGACGGCCAACCACCACGTATGTTCTGCTCATGTGCAGAGGAAATAACTCTCCATGCAAGCAGGGGGCGGTAGTCCGTTGTTATGATACAAGAAGACCATTTTCACTCCGCTGTCGGTCACCACTCGTATTATATGTCGTCTACTAATGGAGAATAATGTCTGATAAAAAGTTGAAAATGGCGCTGGCGTTGTCAGTTCTTGGTCTTTTAGTGGAAAAAGAAAAGAAGAGGAGGAGGAGACAAATAAGGAGAAACCACACTAATGGGTGAAAGCATGGAGACTACAGAGACATGCTCAAGGGGCTTTACTGAACCTGAGAGGAGAGCTGGAGAGAAATGAAACAACAGAACAGCCAATCAGAGAGATCCCTCTCACCGTCCGCCGACGCTGATTCAAGGTGATCACACCGCAAAAACTAGGGAGACAAACGCTCACAATCTCCTCGGTAACCCAGAGCCTCATCCACCTTAATCATCCCGGGCTCATCTACAGCGTGCAGCATGAGAACCGAGCAGGTCATTAGGGAGTGAAGTCATCATGTCATATGAAACTTTGTTTGATCATGAAGCCACTACAGTCATGTTACTCTACAGTTCTTTGATCACTGGTAGAATACAGTGTAAGAACTGCACTGCAAATTTGAGACTCTTATTAAGGTTTAAAAAATCAGCGTCATTAACACACAGATCCCCGTTATGAAATGTCTCATTAGTGCATGCTGCATTACCATAAACTCAGGGGTCACACCTCCACATCGAGCCATTCGAGGCATGTGATGACTTAGTTTATCCGTTTTAATGGGAGCGATCCGACTTCAACAAGTGAACATTTATTCCAGCCAGAAAACAAGGAAAGCCATTCTTTGTCTTAAATACTCGGTCAGCAATGGAAGGATAAACAAATGCTAAAGTTCTCAAGTCTTTGTAAACATCTGGCTTAAAATGTTAAAAGTGCAAACATAGTTTTCAAAGTGGTCCTGTCTTCACATCCATGACTTTGCATAAAAGGCATCACTGTATGCCTAATGAGTGCAATGAGCTGGATGGCCTCAGGTAGTTTTGGCTGGGTCAGGTGGCAAGGCCCGACTTGACGGGTCCCCCAGAAAAACCTTCCTGGGTTTGTGTTGCAACAGAGTTCTTGTAGCTTTCTTTGAATATCAAATATGGCACATTTAGAATGTTTTCAAATTTAAAAAAAAGTCAATTCAAGTATTTGAAAAATGTGTTGATTAGTCAGGAGTAATCACAGCCTCTACTGCGATTTTCTCACGATTCATTTCAATTGACATCACTAATGCATCTGGAAGAAAAACTCTCCTGCAGACATTTTATTCTGAGGCATCAACTTGAGACGTAATGACACCCTTCAGATTCATACCGAGCTGCTCATTGAAGCACAAAGCCAGGCTGAATCACAGCAACAGAACACGGTTTATGATGAACCTTCAAGCGCTGAAGCCCTCTCTGTAGCAGAACTCTGTCAAGTGGAAGAAGAGAGAGAACCAAGCAAAGAGTCCTCGATTGTCCGACTCCCTCCATCCATAGTTTATGTGTTTCATTCATTTCCAGACTAATAGAGGACATTTAGAAAAGTTTTCCTGTGAAACAGAATCAAATGGCTTGAAATAGCTGCAGCGCTCCTCTGAGAGCTTTGCCGGCGGAGGAATTGGCTGCCTTTTATGGCCCCGGCCTTGGAGAGCACTTAGGACAATACATTACAATAATTAAATTTCAAGGTGGCCAAGAAGCGGAAAGCAAGAAAAATTGGAATTTAACGCTCGCTTCTCTTTCGCTGATGCCTGATGGGGTTGTCGTTGCGTTTTTTTTAGCTACTTGCAGGCCAATGAGAGGGCAAGACAGGAAGAACACACACACACACATGCACGCCTCCTCAGGTAGAGCGCCGCTGCCAATTAATTCCTCACAAAGACTTGTAGAGACCATTACTTCTACGTGAAGACACAGCAAAGAAAAATCATTACTTTTCACTGTTTTTTTACCTCCATGCGTCTCATTTCTTTCTTTCTCTTTCATTTCAAGCAATAAAAACATTTGGGGAGATATACAGTATATGTGGGTTTTTTGGCAGCCTCGGTTAATATGGAGGTTGTGATAAAACGCAGCATCAAGGATACTTTTTTAGTTTGGCTGCAGCTGCCCTTTATCTGCTGTCCCTGCTAACAATGCAGTCAGGGGCTTTAAAGATTTAGCTTGAGAATTATTTTTCCAGCTCAGAAAGTGAATTGAATCAGTGCCTGCCTCGTTGATACAGACTGAAGGGATTTGTAAATAAACTAAATTTCACCAAATAAGGAAAGTGCACACAGAGCAACGGCACTACATCTCCAGGGTACCGCAGTTTGTTACTGGTGACTGGGATTGCCGTGGGTTAATGTGTAAAGAGGTCGATGGTATATGTTCAGACCTTAGAGGCACATTTTACACATAAACACAGCAGAACTGAAGTCTGTCCTGTGTAAATGTGTCTCTGAGTCCTGACTGTCTACAATGAGGGAGAAGCTCGAGTCCCGCTGGCTGTGTTGTTGTCAGAGCCGTGTTTACATGGACGGGACGGCCGGCTCCTCCCCTTGTGTATAAAAGCTGTTTTAGTCCAGAACTAGAGAGAAGAAGAAGAAGAACATACTCACTGATTATTTGGATGTTAGTAAGAGTTTTTAGATCACGCTCATTCTGTGTCAGTTTACATGAAATGTGAAGCTACGAGCTAACTAAAGAGCGCTAACATTAGCATGCTAACACAACAATGTGAAGCGACGAGCTAACTAAAGAGCGCTAACATTAGCATACTAACACAACAATGTGAAGCGACGAGCTAACTAAAGAGCACTAACATTAGCATGCTAACACAACAATGTGAAGCTACGAGCTAACTAAAGAGCACTAACATTAGCATGCTAACACAACAATGCAGGACACAGGTGATTGCAGCTCGAGCAAAGAACAATTTTGTCAATCTCTTGCTCTTAATGGTGCTTAATTATTTTGAGTTCTAATTGATAACTCCTTCATGTGAACGCGAGTGGAGGGGGGTTGGAGGTGTGTCTTTGGAGGATAGCGGAGGCTTCAGTATGGAGGAGGCGTGGCCTAACAGAAGTTTGTTTTGGTTTAATGCTGGTGCCCAAGGGCGACATCTACTGGATCAAAAAGTCAAACATTCTTCCTTTAAGTAGGAGTGTCTTTCTATCCCTCTCTAATTGTTCAAAGTGAATCCAGAGAAGACACATAGACTTTAAACTGATACAAAGCAGAAATCGAGTTTTGCTTCCAGAACAATAATAAACATAACCTTCATCCCAAATCCCTGGTTAGAATTAATTTTTAAGTTCCAGCGTCCGTGTTTTACTTAGAAATGGCACTATCGCTGTTTTATTTACCCCAGGAGCACCGCCGCTAGCTCTACTGTCAGGACACACAAAGACTTCATAAATATGGAGCATTATTTTGGGTGTTTCTTTTTGTTTTGAAAACTAAAAAAGCCGTATAAATATTTCAGGAGGCTTTGCACACGGCGGTCCGGAGTCTGACATTTCTGTAAGCGTGAGAATTTTAAGCAAATGTCCCAAAGTCGGTTTTGTGAACTGATCCAGGAGGTTACAGTACACAGAGATGCAGGAGGAGGACGTCTCTTTGATTTACATGGAGTCCTTGGATTATTTCAAAAGCACTGCATGTGTGACAAAAACCCTAAAAAATATATATAAACACACATTTTTGATTAACAAGGACTATACTCTTGATTCTTCTCGTAGTGGTAGTAACTATCACCTATTGGTTTGTAAACACATTTTTGAAGCCTCAATTTTGCCTAGTGGGCTTCACCATCTTTTTTTTTTATGGACACAGAATTGACCATATTTTGACGGTGGTTACTCATCCTAAGAGTGTATCCCTACAGTCGTTGTGGGGTCACCATGTTGGCTACCGGTTAATCCCAGGACGCCAGGTACTAAAGATGCCCGGCTTTATCGTCCGTTTTACTCTCAATGGATCCATTGTTAACAAAGAAATACAAGCAGCTTGATTTGTTTGAGTCCTGAAACACAATTATGACTTCAGGAAAATGAAACATAGATTTCAAAGTCAGCTCATTTTCTCATCTGGTTGCATAAAAGCTTGCAACAAGCTTCTTGCAACAACAGGAGATGCCCCCCTGCTGGCCATTAGAAGGAATGCATGTTTAAGTCATTTCTACATTTGTTTTAATTTTGGAACCAAGATGCCACATGCTAATGAGCATGAACAGTGAGCGTGTGTTTACGAGTACTGTACCTGCTTCAGAGCTGTGAGCGTCTGGATGCCGGTTGCCTTGGCGACCATGGTGTGACTGTTGCCGGGGCTGGGCTGCAGCGACAGGGTCAGGCCTGAGACGGCGTGAACTCGCATCTCGGTGATGGAAACCTTCTCATCTGTCACGGAGAACGCCGACTCTCCCAACACCGCGTCGACTGCCAGCGGAGACTCCACCTGCAGAGAGAAGACACTTTATTGTCTCTTCACATGACAAGAGGGGACATCGTCTGAGAGCGGAATAGACAACAGCTTTATTGTTTTTTCTGAAGCTCATAAAAACCCCTGACAGGCCAATTTTGGATTAAAGCGCTCGGTGCTGTTGTTGTTGTTCCACTGCGTCTCAGAACCGTGTGTCAATGCATCTGTGCCTGTCATCGTGAAAAGACGATCTAAAAAAAAAAAACCCACACTCGAGACAGTATCCATCAGCAGCCAGACAACGAGGCACGACGTGAGGCAGCCACGGCATGCTCTCAAAGTGACGGTTAGCAGAAACGCTCATGCCCATCTAAGTGTCACCACATGAAACAGCACCAGCATTTTGAAGCCGCATCTTGTCTGTTCGGGGTAATCCTGGACTTTTTGACAGGGCCTCTCTGCACCCCACCACTTGGAGCACTTTTTAAAAGATCATCGTTTCACTTTACAATCTCAAGCAGAGGTCAGGAGGGACTTGAACAAAGTGAAGAGCCATCGAGCGAAGCAGCAGCGGCGGCCTTGTCCTCAAGAGTCGGACGAGGGAAATCTTTTCCACCTTCAACTTCAATTGTTTTTTTCCAGCTCCAGCGGGCATCAAATAAAAGCATGCCATGCTAGAGCAGTGAAGGGGTCGGTGCTCTGACAAGCTTCCCCCAATCATCATCAACTGAAACCTTGAAACAGCATACCAACTGCATCCCCTCTCTGCACAAGTTCTGCTTCCCAGAAAAAAATGTGATTTTCAAAAGCTCAAAAAAAAAAAAAAGGTTCTTGCAAGAAATTCAGACGTGCATCAAACATTTTGTAAATATCCCCGTGTGAACACAAGCACAACTTGATGTAATCCCATCCCATTAATCCAGCCATCCAGATTTACCTCATAATTCACTTCATTTTGGATCATTGCAGAAAATAATCTCTGTGTTAAACACACGTTTCTGAAGCGTAGGCGTTTTGTTCAGCAGGATAATCTTCACAGATGAACGCCATTTTTATGATGTTTGAAGCGTTAATGCGGCCGACAGAAGTAAAAAGCTAACGTTATGCTACAAGCTAACTACACCACGGTGGGATGATTGTGACATCACTAGCGTTATGCTTCAGACGATCTCCGATAAACTAATCCACGTAGCTTAATAAATAGTTTACTAACATAATATTCACCTGAACCTAAAGATTAAACCTACAGGAGACATCTCCGACTAGTGAGAGAGTTCCCGCCCTCTGTGTCCGGCGTGATGACCTTTAATGTCCCCGACAACCACTGTAGTCACATTTAGCCTCTTGTTAGCAACCGCCTTTTTAAAGACGAGTAAAAACTTCAAACTTCACAAGTGGAGGTATTACCTAACGTAGTTTATGTGCTCTAACAAAACACCAACATCTCTTCAGCTTGTGTTAACCACAGACCTTATTTCAGGAGTCTAACCACAAACACATTCAAAATCCCCGTTGACTTTTAGACGTTAAACCCCATGGCGCTCAAATGCTAACTTACTTCCTGGTTTTAAGACTCATTCCTGTGGCGCTCTATTGAAAACTTTGTCATTGCAGAATCAATTCATCATCTTCATATGTTATGCATTTGTTACAACACCACGGCTTGATTCAATTACATTGGCTTCATGATTGTTGTCAAACTTTGAGTTGCACAGCCATAAGAGTGCTATAATGCTGCTTGCTTGCTAATGTCCTCTTAGCCTACAGAGGTTAATGACGGGAAACAATTAAGTGCTGCTGTCTGCAGTGAAAAAAGCTGCTCTGAGGCTGTGTATGAATACGTCTCTGCTGCAGCACCTCGACCTCCCTGCCCTTCCTACTTAGTTTAATAAATCTCTGCACACCACACTGTGAGCGCTGCATGTCTATGTGTGTGCTGCATTATTATCGGACGCACAAAATGTACTGTTTTAGAGTTTATTGTAGAAACTTATCCTCCTGAATGCTAAAGTGCGTAAAATTTGGAAAATACTTTTTGGGCGGCATCAAAAAATGTTTCAGTTTCAGTCAGGTTCCACCCTCCATATGCATATTGTTTGTGTGTGATGGATTAATGTGCCAGAAAGGAGAATTATGGTCCACTGGGCAACCACACAAACACATGGAGATGTAGCCACAAGCACAGCCACACACACACACACACACACACACACACACACACAAATACAAAGTGTGCATGCAAAAAAAAAAAACCCTAAGACATGATAGTAAATGGTTGCATAAATAAACTTATAAAGTTTTCATGAGGACAACTCACTCGCATGATGGATAACTCTCACTACAGGAGCCGCTTTCTGCCACAACAAAAACTTTCCTATTAGCTTGATTGTTCAGTTGTTGTTTGTTTCTGTCTTTGGATAGATGCAGTCTTAGTAAGAGGAGAGATAATAGAGGTAAAGATCGTTAAAACAAAAGTTTGTGTCTGTGTAGAAACATGTGAAAACAGAAATTCCACTGAGGTCAGAGAGAGAGAGAAAGAGAGAGAGAGAGAGAGAGAGAGAGAGAGAGAGAGAATTCCACCAAACAAAAACTGTTTGCTTACGATCGATTTTCTGCTACTCTGCGTTCCTGGTATTTTCACAGGCCAATTAAAGTGACTAAAAAGAAAATCTAATGCTATTAAAATCAATATTTGCGGCTTGGTACAAATGTCAAAACATGATTCAAAGACACAGCACATTGTGCATTGATTGTCCCGAAGAAAAGAATTTGATCACAGAAACTAATCGTGTTGGTTGGGGAGGTCAGGATCCACGATGAAACCTGAATCATGATGTGTGAAGCGCTAACTCCCGAGCTGTTGTTTCCTGATTTCAGGGTTAATTAACCAGATACTGCAGCACCAGTTTGGTATTAATGTTTGAACCTCCCACTGTCTGTTTTTTGTAAAGCTGCAGTTTGAACACACAGGAACCTCAAAATCACATAAACCAGTTTTAGGCCCTAAGTCCACCTAGCATGTTTTTTTCTGAGCGCCAGCATCTTTTCAATGAGTAGAGAGAGTTTGCAGCAGAAAGCGGCCTCCTTGAGAAAACGCGCAGCACCCAGCATCTTTTTTTTTTTTTCTCCACCTTTCTTGTGCGGCTCGAGTTGAAAATCTTTCGACTTTTCAGAAAGACGCTGTTGATGTCACCGGCGCACTTTTCCAAATGTTTGATATTCCCTGTAGCCTAAAGATCAGGAAATAAACGTTCTCAAATATCAAGACGACAGTGAAAAGTAACAGAGCTGTGTCGGTCATGGAGCGGCCATTGTCAACAGATTGTTGTCATGGAGACAGGACGGACATGCAGCGCTCTTCTTTTCAGCGCACAAACGCTTCATGCAAGTGTTAGCGGGCGCACAGCTAGCTCTTTTCTGCCCGGGAAAAAGTCGACACAGTCAGCTTTGGATGATTCACTCCAAATCTACCTGAACACAGACTAATAAACAGCCATGCTCACATTCTCACACCAGACTGATACCCAGTGATATTTATAGATGTCTTATTGTAGTTCCCACCAGCAAGATGTAAAAAAGAGACGAAACAGTGAAACAGTGGAAGAAACAGACTCTGAGAGCAAATACTACAAATCCAGAGAGTGATCCATGATCCACTTCTTTATATTCTGTGCAAGTTTTAATAAGGGTGAACATCTCTCTTTGAGAATAAGCCCACTTTGCAGAGGGGATAATGTGATTTATGTAGAAGTATCAGTCTCACAGCTGCAGCCATGGTGCTGCTATTGTTATTAAAGCACAGCCAAAGAAGATGAAAATCTCCTCCTCCAGGCAGCTCATTTGGAATAAAACGCATACTGGTAGAGTTTGGACAGAAACACATGTTATTAGTAGCAGTAGTTGGGCTTCACTACCAAAACTAACACAGGAGGGAGGACTTTTTTTTTTTGACCTGCTTTGGCTTCGTCTTTCTGAGGATGTTTTGTTGTTCATTTGGTGCCTGTTTTGACGTCAGGTTGATAAATGTGATGAAAATTACAATGTGAGTCCGTATTTGTGTTTTATTTTGAAATTGACCGGACGCTCTGTTCGCTTCCTTGTCTGACTTCCTGTTCCGGTTTTCCTTTAGATTCAGCTTGAAGCGTACTCCGTTCAAAATAAACTTGCAGCGTATTTGAAACGGAGCAGAGTGTACTGGCACGCTCCAGAGACGGACAGCGGCGCTCGCTGTGGAAACATTGGACATGAGGCTGCAGGAGCTGGGAATTGAACCCCCAACCTTCAGGTTGAGAGACGACTGACTTTTCCACTGAGCCACAGCCGCCCTAAACATGTCATTGTGACTGAAATCGGAAAAAAACCAACATTGCGCTGTTGTAGATACAATGGTTAAGTACAAAGACGTAATGATGGCAGACTGTTGTCGCCTCTGAGCTGTTATCCATATGTTCCATTGATGGGATGGATTTCACATCTTTGGCACTGATAACTTTCTCCCACTTGAGACTGTTTCCCAATGCTTCCTTTCATCAAAAAAAACGATTGCCGATCCATTTTGTCACACCAAGGTTTTGTAGCATCTGAAATGTGAATGTCCTGAGGCTATTTACCTTGAGTTAGAGAGCTGTCATCCATTCCCTTGCATGGTCTGCCATGCATGTTTCATTTCTACTTTAATGTGCAAATCATCAATCTTCATTTTTTTTTGGGCGACACCAAGTTAAGCATCCCAAGTGATCTAAGAGTTTGAATTAAGTCACTTTTTTCTTTTGATGCTTCAGCTGAAAATAGTTCAATTGTAAGATTTGACTGATGACTTTACTAAAGGGAATAAAGTTTTGGTGTTTCAGGTGGGTTGAAAAAGCTTGAAAGGCATTTTTAAAATTGGTTTAAATGAGATGCAGACACTTTGGTGCAGAGTGCAGAGATGTTGGTGGTTGATTGAGCCGATCTGTGATGCAAGTTCTGCGTCTCAGAATAATTATCCAAGTCCGATGTGGCCGCACATTTATTCTATTTGCACTAAAGCAGTCTTC